GGACCAGCTGACTTGAATACAGCCAGTCCCTCCAGAGGTTCCCTAACTAGTTCCTCACTAACCCTTGGCCTAGGTGCGCCTCCCCTGGGGCCTGAAGGGGGCCCAGCAGGGGCATGACTGTTCCGGTCCCTGCTTAGGAAAATGGAGGCAACGAAATCGTTAAATATGTTGGCTTTGTCGTTTGGTGTGATGACCAAATTTCCTAGCATGTCTTGCAGGGGCCTCACATTACCCGGAAACTTTTTTTTACCCCCTATGTATTTATAAAAGGACTTCTTGTTGTCCTTGATCTGGGAAGCTAGTCCCAGTTCCATCTCTGCCTTGGCCTTCCTGACTGCCCCCCTACTGCAGTATAGTCATCCCTGATGATGGCCCCTCCTTTCCATTGGGTGTACACCTCCCTTTTAGCTAGGAGACATTCCCGGATGCTTTTGGTGAGCCATGGGGGCTTGTGTGCCCTCCTGCCCCCTTTGATCTGTATTGGGATTACCTCCCTTTGGGCTTGGAGGATTTTCTCCTTAAGGAGCGACCACTCTCCTTGGACACCTGGCTCCTCTCCCCTCTGGGACCTCAGTGCTTCCCCGACTATTCTCCTTAGCTCATTGAAGTCCGCCCTCCTGAAATCTAGGGCTGCTGCCTTGCTGCAGGCCTTCACCACCTTGCGCTGGATGGTGAATTCCAACAGGCGATGATCGCTGTCGCCCAGGTGGTCAAGCACCCACAGCCCCCTCACCAGGTTGTCTCCCATGGCCAGCACCAGGTCCAACAAGGCGTCTCCCCTGGTGGGGCTGTGCACCTCCTGGGTTAGATGGAGGTCCTGCATTCTGGCTAAGAACCTACGTGAGCCCACCCCTGAGCTATGCCTATGTTCTACTATGGGTATTTCCCAGGCTTCTGGGTTTTGCTGGTTGCCCGCCCGCTGCCCTGTCTGCTACATGCGTTGGAAGTGTTTTTAGGCCTTCCTCACAGGCCTTGGGTGTTGGCTGCAGCCAGGGCTGGCAGCCCCAGTTAGAGTCCCCTCCCCCCTGGAGCCAGCAGCAAACTTCTGTTTGGTCTGGGGTAATGGTGTAACTCATGGGTTAATCGTGTAATCCTTCTGAGTTACAGCTGGAAGCGGCACTTCTACCTGCACCCTTTGACTGGGCTATGCCAGTGCTCCTGCTGGGGACAAAGCTGGAAGGTCCTGGCTGAAGGGGCTTGCCCCTCCACTCAGGGTCAGACCTGTCACTGTTCTGGGGGTCAGGAAGGAATTTTACCCTATGGCCAGATTGGTGTGGACTGTGGGGGGTTTTGGCCTTCCACTGCAATGGAGGACATGGCCCTCTACCCAGGACCTCAAGCATATATTAAGAAGCTTTTGTAGACACAGGACATTGGCTGCCTTGGTTCCCGGCTTTCCCTGTACTGGGTTGGGGGTTTCATGTTGGGTTTCATCAGGGTTGCCAGCAGCTTTAGGAAAAGGTTATATGATGAATTGTACTGTTTGGTTCAGAAAGGGAGGCTCCCTCCCACCTCAGGCCTGGGGCCAAGCTAGCTGACCCCCAGAGGTGGCTTCCAGCCCGGCTTGTTTGTGGCTGTGGGAAAGTGGGTCTCATTCAGGGTCAGGAAACAAGGGCTGGGGCAGAGCTGGCTGGGCCACCTCCAGGCCCTGCAGCTTCGGGGTAGGAGCTGCTTCAGCTGGGGATGCAGTGGGACACAGCCCAGGGCACAGTTACCCCATTATACCCAGGGCAGGTTCCCTACAAGGCCCGGGCCGGCCCAGCAGGACAACAAACCCAGCTAGCTCCGCCTCAGCCCCGCAGCTGCTGCTTTTATCGGGGAAATACAACACAAAAACGCGAGACAGGGAAAGTTGCCGCGCGCCTATTCGAGGTAGTTCGGGCCCGGAAAGACAATAGGCCTCGAAACTGGGGAGGGAGGGGGGTGGGGCGCCCCGCCTCTTTCCCTATTGACCCTGCCTGGCAAAGGGGCGGGGCCGAGCCGCCCGAGGGTGAGGCCCGGCCAATGAGAGGTGCCGCTCGCGCGGTGACGCAGGCTGAGCAGCCAGGTGACGGGCGCGGGGTCGGGGCTCTCCCCTCTCGGCAGTCGACATGGCGGCCGGTGGTCGAGCTGCGCTCGCGGTCCTAGCGGTGGTGGCGCTGCTGGGGCCTGTGCGGGCCTGGGACCAGCCAGGTAAGAGTCTCCCCCTTCCTCCGCAATGAGGGGAGAGGGCTGGATAGTCTGCGTAGCCCCGCCCCAACCCGGGAAACTGCCACGCCCTCTGGCTACGACCAGTAGTTTGTGCACATGCGCGCGTCAATTGGCTGGGGGTGCAGCGTCTGTGACGTTACGCGCTCGTGGGCGGGGCGAATGGCATGGAATGGAATGGGAGGAGGAGTGGGGGAGCCTGTGAGTCAAGTAGCTGGTGCCCTGGTAGGGTTGGTGGCAGGGGCTTGCGCAGGTGGCCAAGGGATGGGCCCCTCTCCCAGGCAGAAGTGGTAGGGGCGCCCTGCGCACCCTCCTGCCC